GCCAGCAACGTTCTCCTGCAGGACTATGGGGAGGCACCGGCGGGAGCCTTTTGGGTCCACGTCGCGTTCGAGCGTGAGCCTGTGGGGTCATCACACAACGAAAAGGGGCGGCGCAGCAACGCGTCGGATGTGCAGCAGTACGACTCCATTGCATACAGGCAGACGAATGTGGAGGAGGTGCTCCTGTCGTGGATCAAGGGGATATCCATTCAGACTCGCGATGCCCTTGAGACCGAAGAGCATTGGGTGCGGGATCCCGTCAGCGGGGAGCCGGTGCGCGTGGACCGCTACGTCATTCGTCGCGTGGAGCATGACGGCATCCGCCACTTTATCGGCGTCACCCCCCGCTTTATTGGGCAACAGCGACGCCTCGAGAAGGGGTTAATGGAGTTGCGGGCGATGGAGGGGGAGGTGGCGGGCCTCAACGCGGATGACGGCAACGAGGCGGGGGAGGACAGCGAGGGGGAGGAGGCGGGCCGTAACGCGGATGGCGGCAACGAGGCGGAGGAGGACAGCGAGGAAGTGGAGGACAACCCGCACAACTGCGCGGCAGCGGTGCTCTTTGCGTCGGAGGTCATGCCGCCAAACCTACCGGAGAGAGCCGACGTTTGAGGAGGACAGAAGCGTGATGGACATAAAAGGGCTGTAGTAAGACGGAGTTTTTTTTTTGTTGCTTTTTGTTTTTGTTTTTACGCTTGCCCGCGATGGTGAGTGGAAAGGGAGAGAGAGGGAGAGGGAGGGAGGGAAGGAGAGGGAGAGAGGGATGCAGGGGCGAAAAGAAGCAGGAAAAAAAAAGACCGTGCCTGAGGCCTCTTCTCCCACGAGGCATACTTGCACACGGACATCACATACATAAATTATCATTCAAATGTCCCCTTTCTACTCTTGTTGTATCTTTTTGTTTTGTTATGTTCGTACGGATATGCTCGGGCATATTTGTCTGGGCACTTCACATTTATGCTTGTCTCTCTCTTGCTCTTCCTCTCTATCCCTTTATGTGTGCGTCACGTGCTGAAGCATTTGTGCGACGTGTAGCCACTCCGCCGTTATGTCGCCCCCACTGGTAAGCCCAATGCATCTCTGCCTGCCCGCACACACACACATGTCGCCGCGTGGCTCACGATGCGCCCCCCTCTTTCTTTCTTTTTTCCACTTGTGCGTCTGCCTACTCCCTCCCTCCGCCGCCCCTGCGGTGTGAGTGTCTGTGTTTGTGTAGAGTGCAGTCACGAACGACAGGCAGCGGGGCGGAGAAGCGTCGAAAAATTAAGCAAAAAGGGCGAGAAGGCTTTACGCGGCTCACTCTAGTTAGTTTTTTATTTTAGTCTTTTTTTGAGCGGGTCTGCGGGCCACGCACTCCTTGAACCCACAACCACCGCAGTCATCTGCGTAGCCGGAACGCAGCGCGAGGTGGAAGGTAGGAAAATCCACCGCTTGTCGTTGTCGGCGCTCCACCTCTTTTTTCCTCTTCCATCTTTTCTTTCTGTCTCTCTCTCGCATCTCTTCTGCGGAGAGGGAGGTGGATCCGGGACAACACACGAGCCAGGAGCAGCAGAAGAGCCTGCGGACACGCACCCTAGCCGTCTGTCGTCTTGAGGCTTGACGCAGCATGCCACATCATCCGCAGTCCACCGGGCAGATTGTCTGCCAGGGGTGCCAGGTGACGTTGGCGTACCCTATCGGCGCCCCCTCCGTGCGCTGCCCGATGTGCACCACCATCACCCCCGTGCAGCAGTTCAGCGTGACGTGCGTGTGCTGCCGCTGCATCCTCATCCTGCCGCAGAACACGAGCCTTGCCATGTGCCCCCGCTGTCGCACCGTCATGAGCATCCCCGCATGCATCCGCGAGGGCCTCACCAGCCAGCAGCCGCCGAAGCAGTGCGTGTACATTGACCGTCCAGCCGTGGACGCGTTAGGGCACTCAGTAGCTCGTCTTTCCGTGGGAACCAAACTGGACGACGACCCCAACGCACCGGAGATGATTCAACGACGCGGCAGATGACGCAGACGCCTCATCCTCTTAATCCCCAGTTGAAGCGAGGAAGGTCGCCGACGTAACGCACAACTCTCCCACCAAAACAAAACAGCAACAAGCCAAAACAAAAACAAAACAAAAATGGGGGGACCATTTTTTCCCCCTCAAGGGGGCTGCAGGCGCTGCATTCGTGAAGGAGCATGATCCCACCGCCCCTCCGCATCCACGCGAAAAGGAAAGAGGCTGCGCGAGACAGCACGGTGCACACAGTTTGTGGGGCTGCAGTGAGGAGGGGAACAATGTTGATTCATAGCACCAGCAGAGGCGATGACGACAAGAAAGCAAGAAGGAAAAAAAAAAAGATCTGGAGGCATTGACGTTAAATGAGATCACAAGGCGGCCGCGCACGTCTCTGTGTATGTTTGTGTGTGTTTGTAGAAATATTAGTGACGGCCGTTGCCTGATGTGACTGAGGCTCTTCTTTCCACCTCCAAAACAACAGCAACAAGGACAAAAACAAAAAAAGATGAGGAAACAAAACAAGCAACAAATACATGCAACAAGTGAAACGATAAGGAAACAGCACAAAAAAAAACAACAACTACAACTACAAATTGCGTGAAGCAGAGAACGGTGGGCGGCAGTGTCTACTGTGAACGGCTCGTACAGCGATGACGGCCACGACGACTGCCGCCACCGCGCCTCTCCGACTGCAGTTATGAATATCTTCGACCCTTATGGATGGCCTCTATTTGTGTGTGTGTGCGTGTATGTGTAAGTTGATGTCTGCCTGTCCATTCCTTATGTTCCCCCTTACTCTGTCTGTCTTTTTTTTTTGTTTTGAGCGTGCTCTTCCTCGTTTTATGCTCTTTGCTCTCACCACTTCTCACCACTGCTACTCCGGCTTGATGTCTGGAGTGACAGGAGTACCTAAGAGGGGCGTACGACGGCTCGCCTCTAGACATCTCTCTCTCTCTCTCTCTGTGCTCGTGGAGAGACCCCCTCACACTTGCAGAACGAGAGAAAAAGCAACCACAATAACAACAACATTTGTTAGTAGGGACGCATTTACCTCAGGCTGCATATATACACGGCGACATAAATAAATACATTGCCGCGCTGTTCAAGCAACAACGATAACAACAACATCAACAGTGACAGACAGTGAAAAAAGAAAAGTGATGCATGCATCTGTCGAACCTTCGGTGATGGCTTCGCACCGCCCTGGTGGTGAGGGTGGGGAAGGCACTGGAACACGCGTGGGTGCGGTAGGCACCGAATCACCGCCTACTCCGCGTGCCACGGCCGGCGTCACGCCGCCGGAGCTTATTCCTGCAGGCACACCTCACGACGTGGAGGATGATCGGTCATGCGTCTCACCAACTGGCGGTGGCGCACGGAGTCGGTTGGTCGTTCGTCGCATTTGCGCGGAGGAGGAGGCGGCGCGGCGAAGCCGCATTTATTTGCAGCAGTTGGAGTCTTGGAAGAACCTGCGCGTGAAGGCGTGGCGGGAGCGGGTCACGCTGCTCCGACCCGAGGAGCGGTCGGCGTCGCTGCGGAGCCTCAGCGTTCCCACACGCGACGGCTGGGAGGTCAGCAGCGACAGGGCGTCGCCGGCTCACTCCCTGCAGACCCCGAACGACGTCTGCGACCGCACGCTGAGCCCGCCGCATACGTCGGAGGCTTGCATCCCGGACGCGTCATGTCTGGAAAAGTTCTACGAGGGTGAGGTGATGCGGGCCGCAACGCGTTGCGTGCGGCAGGAGGAGCTTGAACGTCAAACGCAAGAGGCTGCAGAACGGCGGCAGGCGGAGGAGGCAAGGAAGCGGCAGGAACGCGAGGCAGAGGCGCGGCACCGGATGGAGGAGATGGAGGCGCTGCGGCAGCAGGAGCGCGAGGCTCAGCGGCTGCTTCGGGATGAGACGGTGCAGCGTGAAGAGGCGGAGGAACACGCACGTCGTGCCGCGGATCGCGCGCAAGAGGCGGTGGCGGAGCTGCAGCGTCTGCAGCAGGCCTACGACGGGGCAAGGGCCCTCAACAAGGACGCCTTGGATGGGCTGAAGTTACGTGAGCAGCAGGTGGAGCTGCTCTCGACGGACATGCAGCGCCTGACAGGCGCCAATGCGGTGCTGCAGCGGCGCATCGAGGAGCTGGAGCAGGAGATTGTCACCGCCCGACAAAGAGAGGCTGCATCGTCCAGTTGGATGCAGGAACTGCAGCGGGAGTTGGCGGAGATGGGGCGGTCTAACGAGGAAAAGGAGAAGGCACTACGGGAAGCGAATTCAACACTGCAGCAGATGCAGTGCAGGACGAGCGACAGTGAGCGTGAGCGGCGTGCGGCCACCAGTGCAGCAGAGGAGAGCTGCCGTCGTGCGGATGAACTGGCACTGCAGCAGAGTGAGTCGCAGGATGCAACGGAGGCGCTTCGTGTAGAACTTCAGCGCTGCCGTGACGACGCGGCGCAGTCGCTTAGGGAGCAGGCGGCACGGTTTGAAGCGCTACTCACCGCAAATGAGTCCGCTGCTGACGCGTCCCAGAGGCAGCTCCAGAGAGACCTTGCTATGCTTCACCGCAACTACGACGCGTTGCTGCAGGAGCGGGCGGTAGAGCGGGCCGCGATGGAGGCGAAATCGAAGGCACAGCAGCAGGAGGTAAGGCGGCTTCACGAGGACCTCGTTGCTCTGCAGAAAAAGCGTGACGCGGATGCCGCAGAGCTGGCGGAGCGCAGGCTGGAGTTGCAGGCGGAGGTGACGCGCAACGACGAGGCGGAGCAGCTGCTGCGCAAGGCAGACACCGCGATCACAACGATGGCTGCGAGGCTGGCGGAGCAGCAGAAGGAGCGAGCCGAGGTGAGTGTGCAGTGCGAGGGACTCGAGTCGGAGCCACGTGACACAAACCACCGGCTGCAGCATGCCAACCCAGCTGTGAGCAAACAGCCGCAGCCGCAACACCAGCGGCCTTTTACTAGCGACCTCGCCGCGTTGCGGTCGTCGTTTCCGCGCGACGAAGACGGGG